ACTAAAAAAATATCTATCGAAATCTATCCATCGCTTGTTCCTTCGTCTTGATATTGCAGATGTGTGTATCGATTTTCGTGACACGATAAAAGATTTTTTTTTATGCGGATTATGCAGTTGTGGGGGGGGGTGGAGGGGGGTAGAGAGGATAAAAAAAATGGTCGGAAAAGTAATTTCTCCCCATGTATTTTCGTTTATTTATGTACGTAAGAAATCAATCTGCTTATATGAATTAATCTGTCTCTTTACTTATACAAACATCCAGATATTAAACTCATTAACATTCAGATATTAACTCCATAACTGATTCATTTATTCCGTTCTTCATTCATATCTCTCTTATCTGTTTCTTCATCTGCTTCTCCTACTCATCTCATTCATCACCGACACAGCAAAAGGACTAATAATAAAATAGAGATAGACATGACTGCAGGAATAAAAAATCGCCAAGTCATGGCATGCCTAATCGATTAAATATTCATGTTCTTAAGTATATCCTCGCTTGCCATGGTCTAATAGAAAACAAATGAATAAATTAATATGTAAGGAAATAACTAAGTAGGTGAATGAAAAAAATAAATAAATAAATAAACGAACGAATAAACAAACAGATGAATAAATGAATGAAAAAGAGAGAAATGAACAAACCGACTTAATTGCAAAAATCATTGAGGTTGCTTTTTCTAATAAAATTTTCGACCAAGTGAAAAATGAAACGGAAAAAAGATAAGGCACATAGAGTAATTATGGTAAAGAAAATTGAAAAGTTCAATAATTTTTTTTTTATATAATTTTTTTTTCCTAACTCTTTCAAATGTTATTACATCATCATTAGGACTAATGTCGTTCTTATTAATATCACATTATAACCATCAGTAATATTAATGGCATTTTGAATATCATTATCATCATCATTAATATCATTTATTATATTCATTATCATCGTTGTCATCGTTATTACTGTTATTGAAAGTATTACTAATATCATTATCATTAATGTTATCACCAATACTACCATCCTGATTATTATAATCAATCATTTCCACAATCATCATTATTATTATTGTTGCTATTAATATTATTGTTGTTATTATTATTGTTGTTGTTGTTGTTGTTATTATTGTTGTTGTTGTTTTTATTATTACTATTATTATTATTATTAGCATCATCCTCACCATTATTTTTATCAACATTATCATTATCATTATTATTATCATTATCATCATCATCATCATTATTATCATCATTATTATCATCATTATCATCATTATTATTATCATTACTATCATACATATTAGTAGTAAGATCTTCATTATTTTTTTCGTCACGGTCATTGCCATTATTTATGTTACAGCTGTTATTGTTGTTTGTCACCATATTTACCGTATTTATGTTATTGTTACTTTCGTTATCATCATTATCAACATTCTCCTCATCATCTTTAGTTTTTTACTTTTTTATTAACCAAACAACAAAATTACCCACACAAGTAAACAGGCAGAGGTAAACAAGCAATTTGCTACGACAAACGAACGTGCAAAGTAACGTGCTTGAGTCTCCCACGTTCGCAAATAACGCATAAGTAAGTTTTCGTAAACAACGAAGGAATTTCGAATTCCCTATGCGGCTAAAGTAGAAGGACTGTGCATCGCAAAATATAAGAATAATAAGAGGAATGACTCCTTATTTTCATATTTAACAAAACCATTGCATAACCCTTTTTTTCTCCTTTCTTCGTATTTCGTAAATCCATTACACAACCTTACCAAAATAAGAGAAATGAAGCAAGAATACGAGGGTTGTTCGTGTCTCGAAATGCGCATGCAGGCGTAGACGAAGTGCAGGGTTTAAAAGCGAGGCTAGTCAGTGTGCATGGGGTAGCAAAGGCGGAGCGTCTGCAGTGATGTGTCCCCCACTCTGGCAAATCAATACTTTCAAAGCTGTGCACTCGGGGGCTCTCTTGCTCTCTCTCTCTGTCTCTCTCTCTCTATGTCTCTCTCTCTCTCTCTCTCTTGCTCTCTCTCTCTCTCTCTCTTGCTCGCTCTCTCTCTCTCTCTCTCTCAATCTCTCTCTCTCTCTCTCTCTCTCTCTCTCTCTCTCTCTCTCTCTCTCTCTCTCTCTCTCTCTCTCTCTCTCTCTCTCTCTCTCTTTCTCACTGCCTCTCTCTCTCTCTCTCTCTCTCTCTCTCTCTCTCTCTCTCTCTCTCTCTCTCTCTCTCTCTCTCTGTATGTGTGTGTGACTGTATGAATTAGCATAGGCATGCGCATGTGTCCATCAGACTGTCTGCATATATGCATGTCTCTGGTGAGTCTGTGTCTGTGGTTGTTGTTATGTCTACGTCTGTGTCTATGTCTTTGTCTGTGTCTATGTCTATATCTATGACTACGTCTAGGTCTATGACTGTGGCTGTTGCTGTATATTTATAAGCGTGTGTGTGTTATGGAAAACCGAGTGCCACGTATTAAGCCTGTTTGAACTTGGGCGCGTGTGTGAGAGAGTT